TTTACACTAATTAACACTAATTTACACTAATTTACATTAATTTATACTAATTTACACTAGTTTACACTAATTAACACTAATTTACACAAATTTACATTAATTAATACTAATTAACACTTATTTACAATGATTTACACTAATTTATACTAATTAACACTAATTAAAATTAATTTGCACTGATTTACACTAACACAAATTATATTTACATTAATGTACATTAATGTACACAAATTTACATTAATTTATACTAATTTACACAAATTAACACAAATTTACATTAAATTAGTTATTCTTTGCAAACATAGCCACGTCTGGAACACTCCTGGAACTTCCTGGATCACTCCTGGAGTTTCCTGGAGCAGTCCTGGAGCTTCCTGGTATGCTCCTGGAACAGTCCTGGAGCTTCCTGGAGCAGTCCTGGAGTTTCCTGGAACACACCTGGAGCTTCCTGGAGCACTCCTGGATCTTTCTGGGGCACTTCTGGAGCTGCCAGGAGCTTCCAAGAACATTCCAGGAGCTTCCTGGAGCACTCCTAGAGCACTCCCGAAGCTTCTTTTGGCTTCCTGGATCACTCCTGGAGCTTCCTGGCGTGCTCCTGGAGCTTCTTGGATCACTCCTGGAGCTTCCTGGAGTGCTCCTGGAGCTTCTTGGATCACTCCTGAAGCGCTCCTGGAGCTTCCTTGATCACTCCTGGAGCTTCTTGGAACACTCCTGGAGTTTTCTGGAACGCGCTCCTTGAGCTTCCTGGCACACTCTTGCTGGAATGCTCCTGGAGCTTCCTGGAACATTCCTGTAGCATCCTGGAACACTCCTGGAGCTTCCTGGAGTGCTCCTGGAGTTTCCTGTAGCAGTCCTGAAGCTTCCTGGATCACTCCTGAAAGTCCTGGAGTAGTCCTGGAGCTTCCTGGAACACATCTGGAGCACTCCTGGAGCTTCCTGTGTGCTCTGAGAGCTTCCTGGAGCACTCCTGGAGCTTCCTGGAGCACTCCTAGAGCTTCCTGGAATGCTCCTCAAGTTTCCTGTAGCTTATTCATGGAACCCTCCTAGAGCTTCCTGGAGTCTTCCTGGAGCACTCCTTGAGTTTCTTGGAACACTCCTGGAGTGTCCTGGAACACTCCTGGAGCTTCCTGCAGCACTCCTGGAGCTTCCTGCAGCACTCCTGGAGGAACACTCCTGAATACTCCTGGAGATTCCTGGAACACTCCTGGAGCATCTTGGGTCTTCCTTGATCACTTCTGTAGCTTACTGGATCTCTCCTGGAGCTTCATGGAACTCCATGGAGCCTCCCAGGGTAGCTACTTCTGCAGGACTATGAAAATAAAATGAAAACCAGTAAAAGGTTTAAAAGCATGAATCACTTTCTTACACTGAAGTTGTTTTAAGACCAGTGACAGACTTTAACCCAGACAAGCTAACGGTTAGCTCAGTCATTTGAATCCATCCACAGCAGGTCCAACATTAACTGTTCATAACGTCTACACTGAACCCAATGTCTGAAGAACTGAACTGTCCTTTTAATGTTTATTAACCCTTTCTGTTAGCGTTAGCCTGCTCTGTGCAGAGAAGCTACAATGTTTGCTAACGTTTTAGCCTCACAAGCTACTAATTCAGCTGTGGTACAGCTGAACCACTGCATCAGTATTTACTCTAAATACGGCTTAATTTCCATCCACACTCCTGTAAAGTAACTAAGTTTAGATATTTCAATGTTCGGAACACGACAGAATTAAAACAGGTTGAGAATGACGGAACCTGGAGTCCACGGTTTCCTCTTGGACCAATGGTCCCTTCAGGGCCCTGGAGAAAAAAAAAAAAAGTTTCATAAATCACGCTTATAAACTTTATCAGCAACGCATTGGATTCACATTTCAATACAACAGTTTAGTTTAACAGCAGTGCGTTTTTAAAATAACAAATGATGTCGCCTTTGGCTTATTTATGGACAAAATTACAGGAGAGACTTATTGGTACCAACACATAATCTAGCCCAGTACATGCCCAGGACGTGCCATTTGGATCCAGGCCATACCCTTTGGATCAAGTACGTACCGTATGGATTGAGTATGTACCGTTTGGATCGAGTACGTAGTGTTTGTTTCAAGTACATAGCATTTGGATAGAGTACATACCGTATGGATCGAGTACGTACCGTATGGATAGGGTATGTACTGTTTGGATCGAGTACGTACCGTTTGGATCAAGTATGTACAGTTTGAATAGAGTACGTACCGTTTGGATCGAGTACGTACTGTTTGGG